TTAGTCATAGTCGTCTCTTTGCTTATCTTTTTAGCATCTGTTAGCTGGATCTTCCTGCCAGCCTGTTGGAACTGGGCTCTGTGTGATTCTTCTTCATCCTCCAGTCCTTTTTTCCCAGTTTCTGAAATAATTCCTACAATTCTTTTTTCTCTTTTAGTTACCATAACTCTTATGCTAAGAAGTTTTCTCTTACTGAAGCTGTCTTCCTTTTCTATCTAAATTAGGAACTCAAACTACAGACTCCCTTTTATAATTGATCCCTTATGCAATAGGTAGAATTAATCAGATCCACTTCATTCCCTTAGCAAATCGCTCCAATCAGAAGAGACTGAAACAGAACCCTTGGTGTATTTCACGTCTCTAGGCCAGTCAGCCTGTGTGTTGCTGACTTCGTCTGCTGTGCTTCTAATCTTGGCTGCTCATTCATGGCTCTAAACCACACCACTCTGAGCTGTGTGTATCTGAGACCCAGTCCTGTCCTTCTGATGCTGTGCTGCCTTTTACTTACGATTTCTCTGTTCATCTGCCTCTTTCTTGCTGAGGGTTCGTATTCAAGTCTGTCTTCCTAAACCCTTTATCTCCAGAAGTCTCATATGAGCCATTAGTAGTAATGACATAAAAAAAAGGGAGTGGAAGGAATGAGAAACAAAGCAAAACGAAAAACATCGTACTTAAAAAAAAAAAACAAAAAGCCTTGCTATTCCTTTCTTTTTTTGTGTCATTAGGATTCCATGAACAGTGGTGTTGGTAGAATTTGGAAATCTACCAAGACCCTTCTCATCCCCATGAATCTCCTTGGTAGATGTTTGCTAGTGCTTGCAGGGTCTCTGTAGGTCGGAGCCAGTAGGCTTCCAGCTCACCTGTCACCTCCATCCCTATTTCTCCATCATCTGTAAATGTACCCAGGGAGGTTTCATGAAGCTGCAGCCTTGAGGTGCACTGATGTTTGGCAAGGTTACAGAGATCCTTTCTTCTCCAGCTTGAAATTTCTGAACTTGCCATGGGCTCAAGATAGTAGTTAGACTTACATCTAGCTTTTCTTCATGTACACCAGGATGCTGTCGATGTTTGTAGTAATGCAGCTATTTCTTAACCTTTCCTGAGGTGTGCCTTTTTAAAGAAATTAACAGTTGAATTGATTTTTTTGCACTTCAAGAAATGCTGCCTGATGATTAAAGTGTGATTGAGCATAGTTTCCTCACATTTGTCCTTTCTTTTGTAGCGTACTGTGAACAGAGAGGAGCTGCTGAAACAAGCTGAGTCTGTGATGCAGGATCTTGGCAGCTCACGGGCCATGTTAGAAATCCAGTATGAAAATGAGGTGAGCTTAGTGAATCTGTGACAGTTTTTAGCTTGACTTGTGCTTCTGATAAGATGTTATTAGAGTTTCTTGGTCCTATGGAATCCTAAAGGACTATTGGGAATTTTATCTAAAAACTTGAGATTTGCTCTTTTTTCTCCTGAATGATTTGTTCTAAGTTCTCCATTTTTTTGAGGTTAAATTGTATCATAAAAACCAGGTGTTTTTCCTGGCATAAGAGCAAATGTTTGTGTAATCTTTAGGTTGATAAAGTAAAAGGATGTCTTAAACATAGCTTTCAAAATGTGTGAACTGCTTTTTGTAAAAATCAGGCTTACTGAGATACAACTTATTTATAATAAATGCACACTCCTAAGATGCACAGTTCTCATCTGAATACAGACTGTAACCACTACCACATCAGGATTAAAAACAATCCTGTCACCACAAACAGTTCTCTCCGACCACTTTGCAGTCAGTCCCCACCCTCCGCCCCCAGTCCCTGGCAACCATCGATCTGTTTTCTGTCCCTGTAGCTTTCTCTTTTTGCGATGTCATAATAGTGGAATCACACAGTGTGTAGATGTGTGTGTCACTCTTCTTTGACTTAGTCTGATGCTTTGAGATTCCGCTGGGTTGTTACATGTATCAGTTTGTCTCCTTTTATTACTGAGTGATAGTAATAGTCCATTGTATGATATACCATAGTATGCTTATCTGATCACCAGGTGATGCACATTTGAGTTGTTTTTAGTTTTTGACTCCTATGAATAATGCTGCTATGAACATTTGTATACAAGTCTTTGTGTAGACATATGTTTTTATTTCTCTTGGGTGAACACTTCAGGGTTGAATTGCTAAATCTTTTGATAAGACATGTTTTAACTTTATAAGAAACACCAAACTGTTTCCAAAGTAGCTGTCCCATTTTTCACTCCCACCACTAATGCAGTGTGTGAGTTTCACTTGCTTCACATGCTTACCAACACTTGGTACTGTCAGTCTTTAGTTTTAGTTATTCTGGTGGGTTTACAGTGGTATCTTATTGTGGTTTTAATTTGCATTTCCCTGATGATTAATGCTATTGATTATTTTTTTATTCCTTATTGTCCATCCACATTTTTTTTTTTTTTTTTTCCTTTTTCTCCCCAAAGCCCCCCGGTACATAGTTATGTATTCTTCGTTGTGGGTTCTTCTAGTTGTGGCATGTGGGACGCTGCCTCAGCGTGCTCTGATGAGCAGTGCCATGTCCGTGCCCAGGATTCGAACCAACGAAACACTGGGCCGCCTGCAGCGGAGCGCGCGAACTTAACCACTCGGCCACGGGGCCAGCCCCCCATCCACATATCTTTTGGAGAAGTATCCAAGAATTTTGCACACTTTTTCATTGAGTAGTTGTTAAGAGTTCTTTATATATTTTGGATACAAGCTCTTTATAAGTGTTTTACAAATATTTTCTTCCAGTCTGTGGTTTGTCTTTTCATTTCTTTATGAAATATCTTTGAAAGAGAAGTTTTTAATTTTGATGAAATCCAGTTTTATCTATTTTTTTCTTTTCTAATTTGTGCTTTTTGTATCCTGAGAAATTTTCCCCTAACCCAAGGTCTCAAAGATTTTTTTCTGTGTGGTTTTTAGGAGTTTTATAGTTTTACCTCTTATATTTAGACCTCTGATCCATTTTGAGTTAATTTTTTTGTGTGGTATAAAGTATAAGGGTTAAAGTTCTTTTTTTCTAAACATATGCTGTTCAATATTTCTAGCACCATTTGTTTGAAAAGACTATACTTTCCCCTTTTGAGTTACCTTGGCATCTTTGTTGAAAATCAGTTGATTATGAATGTTGGGATCCGTTTCCGGGTTTTCTGTTCTTTTTTATTAATCTACACCCTCTTGATTTATGGTATTGTTATAGTTAAATAAATGAAACTTGAAATCAAGTAGTGTGAGTCCTTCAACTTGGTTTTTCTTTTTCGAAGTTGTTTTGGTTATTCTCAATCCCTTATGTTTCCATGTAAATTTGAGAATCAACTTGTCAGTGTCTGCAAAACTTCTCGCAGGATATTGATTGGGGTTGATTGGGGTTGCATCTTGATGAATTTGGGAGAGAACTGACATTTACAGTATTGAGTCTTCCAATCCGTGACCAGCGTGGCCTTTCACTTATTTAGGTCTTCTTTAATTTCTCTCAGTATGCTTCATAACTTCAGTCTGGGGGTTTTCATGCATATATTTTGTTAAATTTCTCCTCAAATATTTCCTGTTTTTTGATGCTGAAAATATTCTTTCATTTCAGTTTCCAATTGCTGTTAGTTTATAGAAATGTAGTTGACTTTTGTATATTGGCCTTGTTTTCTCTGACTTTGATGGACTTAATTATTGGTTCGAATAACTTTTTAATGGCTCAGGTAGGATTATTGTGGATCCAGGACTTGGGAAACTTTTCTGTAAAGGGCCAGATAGTAAATATTTCAGGCTGTATGGGCCATACAGTCTTTATTGCAGCTACTCAGTTTGGCCTTTGTAGCGTGAAAGTGGCCATAGACAATACAAACATGAATGAGCATGGCTGTGTCCAACAAAACTTTATTTATGGTCACTGAGATTTGAAGTTCATATCATTTTCACACATTGTGAAGTATTATTCAGGATTTTTTTCAACCATTTAATATTGTAAAAACCATTCTTAGCTTGCAGAGCATACACAAACAGGCAGTGGCCAGAGCTGTAGTGTGCTGGCTCATGTTGTACTCAATTGTGTCGTCTGTGAAAAAGTTTTACTTCCTTTCTAATCTTTGTCTTTTATTTCTTTTGAGATGCTTTTGAACAGCCAGGACAGTACATCAAAAGATTGAAATAATGACTTTCTATGTATTTTAACTCTGAAGTATTGAGTCTCTTGGGGATACTTTCCTGTCTCTTTTCCCTATTTTTTTTTAAGATAAAACTTGAGTTTTTGGATTTACGAAACTCTTATGGAGACACAATTTCCAAACCTTCCATTATAGTGATTATTTATTTCTAATAGCCCATGACTCTGCCCCTCAGTTTTGTTATCTCTAAAACGTGGGTTATAAGCACAACCTCACAGTGTGACTGAGTTCGTATTGTGAAGAGTTAGAACAGCGGCTATAGATGAGGCAGTGTAAACTACGATACTATGTGTGGTTATCTGAGTAATTTTAAGCATGACTTGGATTTTTCATTTATTTTCCTAACTATTTTCTCCTTCTCATTAAGACTTCTGAGAAGTTGAGTATTCAGTTATCAAAATTAAAATTTTAATTAGTTGGGAGGTATGCGATGTGCTAGGATCCACGTTTTGGCAGAGTTCCTGCATTCAAAAGATTACGTCATAGTTGGGGAGATACAAGGACAAATGTACAAACAGGTGTGGCAAATAAGTGGTATAGGTTGCAAGTGAATGAGGCTTTGAGATAAGGAGTGCTGTCCCAGATGTGTGAGGAAGGCCGGGAGGGGAGGTAAGCCCTTGAGTTAGACCTTAAAGGAAGAGAGGGACAGAGTTAAGGGACCAAAGGATGTGGCTTGACCAAAGGATCAGGCTTGGTAGTAAGTGCCAGAAGGGAGTAACTGCTCTGGAAGTGATGGGAGATGGAATGGAGGCCTTGACTGCTTGGGATAAGAAATTCCCATCTTTTGAATCTACCCTGATCATGCCTGATGCTCAGAGGATGCAGTTTTTGTATGTTTACATGCCCAAATTTCTCATTTCTAAAACTGCAAGACCTTTGCTCTAGACAGCTTGGTGGTGCTTAGTTTATTAAACATGCTTTCTGCTTTTTCACTCCAGCGTCCTTTTCTCTTGCCATTTGTCTTCTCTCTCACCCTTCATGGCTCTGTTCACATTGCATCATACATGAAACCTAAACGAGTAGAGAATAGCATCACAGTGTTCTAAGGATCAGAATTGAATTGCTGATACAGAAATCGCAATTCTACGATCTTCATTGATGAGTCTTACCTGTTGATTCTGGAAGAGATTCCAGGAGCTGACTTCATTGGAGACGAAGGGATGGGAGGAGTGCTGAATTTATATTTGCATAGGGCCTCAGGTTGTAAATCAGAGTCAACCATTCAAGTCAGCTGGTGTCCATTAGGAAGACTTTCTTATTACCTTTAGAAGAATCCTGTTGTAAAATGTCTGATCAAAATGGACTCTCTCTTGAATAGAGATGATCCGTAAGCCAGGAAAGAACTAAACCAGTCTCTGGGCTCAGAAAGCCACCCAAGCCCCAGGGCCTAGGGCTACAAAAGACCCAACCTCTAGGATGGTGAATGGTTAGGAGCTTGGACTATGGAGCCTGGTACCATCACTTACTAGCTGTGTAAACTCCTCAGTGATATCTCAGCAAGGGGCATAATAAATATACCTGCCTCATTGTGTTGTTAGAATGATTAAATGCACTGAAATGTGTAAAACACTTAGAACATTGGCTGTCACATGATAAGTGCTAGTATATAAGTATGTTTTTGAAAGAAAAAGACTTTCAAAGTTTTAAATAAGACAGGTTGTCAAACTTGTTTTTCTGTGTTTTTGTCTCTAGAGCTTTATGCTTTTCCTTCCTTTAAAAAACAAATGAAGCAAAACCAAAGTACATACCTTTTTAGCAGAGTGGCTGGGTAGAATGAAGATCTCTGAATAGATGAGGTTGACCTGCAGGGCTGCTGGCCAGCCCAGGGTAGGGGTGAATTGCCAGGGCAGTGACCTGGTCCTTCCACCCTCACAGAGACTCACTGTGATGAAAGTGTTTACAGTGATATTCATGTCATTAAATATGTTAAGTCTATTTTACCGTTAGAAATAGCAATATTTGGATGAAGGAAATAGACTGATCTGATCTGTGATTTCCAGATACGTAATTATGCTAAAGGAAGAATTAACTGGCTTTAAAGCACCATCTTGTGGATACCAGTTGTTACTGCAGTTGTTTCTTTTTTCTCTGCTTCCTTCTTCTTTCCCCTCCTCCCCCTCCCCCGATGCCCAGGATTTAGCAAGGACAAAATATACAAAGTCTCTACCAACATGGAGCTTTTCTTTTAGTTTGAGGAGGCTGATACACACATACTCAAGCACATGTGTGTGTTAAGCTGTGTGATGAAGAAAAATAAAGCAAAATAAGAAGTTGGGAGTCTATTGGGGAGGGGATAGGGTGGTCTAAGGTGACATTTGGACAGAGGTGAGTCATGACTGTCTGGGGAAGAGTATCTCCAGCAAAAGAACGTAGAAGCAAAAGCCCTGAGACAGCATTCCTGGCCTGTTGTGGCGTGACTGTGGCTAGAAGTTAGGAGTCAAGGGATGGGAGGGATCATATAGGACACGCAGGCTGTGCTAAGAGCTCGAGCCTTTGCTTTGAGTGAGACGGGAAGCCCTTGGAGGGTGCAGAGGAATGATAGGAACTTAGATCTTAGAAGGATCACTCTTGGCGCTGTGAGACTAGGATAGGAGATGCCGAGAATGCTAGTGCGGAAACCATTTAGGAGGTTCTAGCAATAGACCAGATAAGAGATGATGGTGGTAAGCAGTTGAGAATATTTTGAAGGTGGGGTGAACAGTGTTTAATGGTGGGTTGGAGTGTGAGGAGTAAGAAAGAGAAGAGCCACGGATGGTTCCAAGATTTTGGTTGGAGCATGGCATGAATGCTGATGCCATTTACTGCTGTGGAATAACAACAAAGGGATGGAGATGGATCAAGAAAGCACCACCAGGTCCAAGCAGATCACTGTCTGGAAAGTTAGAGTTAAACATTTGGTGGACTGCATCTGATCTTTTAAGCTAGTGTGGATACTTTGAAAAGTGTGAAATGGTAAAATAATGCCCATTATTTGCAAATAATCTATAAGTGAAACATAGCCTTCTTGACAGGACTCTGGTTAGATTTCACCTATAAACTATGGTGTTAACTTGCCATTAGCTGCATATCTAATTTATGGTCTGAGCAGGTAGAGCCTTGATAGAAAATGAAGGAATAACCAGGCTGTGGACACTGCCCCAGGATCGTGTCTCTCACAGAGGAGGGGTTTTCATTCAAGCCCGTACAGTCACCTTTGGAGCTTGTTTGAAAATGCTGGCACCCAGGTTCTAAAGCACACCTATGAAATCAGAATCTCACAGCATGCCCACCCCCCTGTCTGCATATCAAAGCTCTCAGGGGATTCCAGTGAACCCTGGGGCTTGAGAAGCGCTGATGGACTCTCTGAGACTAAGTTAGCCCTGTGGGCACTTATATGGGTTTAGACCTTCCCTTAATTGAGTTTTATTCAACAAACCTCTGTTAAATGGCTGGTGTGTGCCAGGCACTATAGAGGATACACAGGTGAATTAAAGTTACCTGCAGGTGAGGCATGCAAGCATATAATGAAATCCTGGCGGTACGATGTGAGAAGTATTTAAAAGTAGCTGAAATGTACGTCCTAAAAAAAAGGAGCAAGGTAGCTGTTTAGGCAGATAAGGAGGCTCCTACTGAGGAGGTGACCTTTGAGCTGATTTCAGGGTAACAGAACAAGGAAGAGATCCATACATAGACGATGCCATCTTATTCCCTGAGGATCGGATATGTAGCTACAGCAGTACTGATACCAGTATCCAAGCTTGAAGCATACAATTAAGGTGTTGGGGCTGTAGGGAGTAGGAATTAAATAGAAGGTTGCTAGTTCTTCTTCCAGGTGACCAAGACCAAAGGAGTACAATCAGGTCAGTTTGGGAAATAATCTCTAATGCATCCTGATAAACAGATGCTTTTAGTACCCACAGTGCCAAGAGTTTGGCAGGTTAAAAAAAGCAGCACAAATTCTGAAATTTGTAATTGTTCTCCTTTTGTTCTTGCGTAGGTTGGTACAGGTCTTGGGCCTACACTGGAGTTTTATGCACTTGTATCTCAGGAACTACAGAGAGCTGACTTGGGTCTCTGGAGAGGTGAAGAAGTAACTCTTAGCAATCCAAAAGGTAATATTAATCTGTGAGTCAGTCAGTCCGTTTGGTTATTCAGATCAGGTAAAGGGTCCTTACAGCTCATCAGTTAGCTTTCACTTCTGGTGGAGGACCATGCTCTCTGACCTGAATTTCTTTCAGCCTTGGTTTTCTCGTTTATCAAAGAAGGGAGGCCCTCTCAGCTCTGGAGGACTTTATTCAGTGATCTGCTGTCTGATGTCAAGGATACTTAGTTTCCTAAATGTTCTTAGTTACCAGGTTTTGTCTTGTTTTGGGAAATAGCCTCTAAAGTTTGGTGACTTGCTCATTTTACAGGAAGCCAAGAAGGGACCAAGTATATTCAAAACCTCCAGGGCCTCTTTGCGCTTCCCTTTGGTAGGACAGCTAAGCCAGCTCATATCGCAAAGGTTAAGATGAAGTTTCGCTTCTTAGGAAAATTAATGGCCAAGGCTATCATGGATTTCAGATTGGTAAGTTGAAGATTATTTGCTTTTCTGCAGTTTTTTTGTATCTGTGTTCCATGAAAGTACTTTAATCCACTGCACTTAATGCTGTGTTTTAAAACAGTGCTTCACAAAACTTGAATGTGCATATGAATTACTTGGGGCTTTTGTTTAAAAAGTCAGTTTTGATTGAGTAGTTCAATGGTGAGGCCCAAGATTCCACATTTTCCTACCAGCTGCCAGGTGATGCCCAAGTGCTGGTATATGAGTCATTCTTTTCATAGCAAGGGTAGAGAGATTCAGGTAATGGTGAGGGTGGTTTTAAAGTGTTTGACGTTAGATTTTTAATTCAGTAGGAAAGAGCATGAGCATGTTGCTAAACTACAGTAAATTGCCATTAGAATGCTGGAGTAAAAATAACCAAAATCAGTCCAGGGAGGTTTGAGTATTTCTGGACTTGTCTTCATTTTCTCCTCTCACATTTTCTGAGCTACTTTGTCAGTATGTAGAAGATATTTTCATTTGATGTCAAATTCACAAGCTTACACTTTCACTGTAACTGAAGGATGGGCTGTTGGTCAGTTATTTTAGAAGTTCCATTTTTTGACCTTAATTGGTTCTTCATTTTAACCTCTTGCTTCTGAATCTGCAATAATACTACAGTGGAATTAAATTTATTTGGCCCCAAATAGAGTAAGATTTGGTGTTGAGGGCCTTATGGAGAATCTATGTCCATCATTGAAAAATTCGTTTTTAGGGTCGGTGTTTAAATAGGATTCTTCAGTATTCTAAATTGTTCACAATGTTAGGGCCCCAAATGGAGTTTGAATGGGGGTAGGTTCATGTGATGAGAGAACGGTTCCTAAATATGTTTTCTTCCTGGGGATTGCTTGACCTTTTTAAGTGTCAGTTTTATAATCGAGGCGACTGTAGAAGCTGAGTGTGACTGGCGAGATATTTTGCATATTCCGTCTCAGGTGGACCTTCCCCTTGGCTTACCCTTTTATAAGTGGATGCTACGGCAAGAAACTTCACTGACATCGCATGATTTGTTTGACATTGACCCAGTTGTAGCCAGATCAGTGTATCACCTAGAAGACATCGTCAGACAGAAGAAGAGACTTGAACAAGATAAATCCCAGGTAAGCTTAGAAGATGAGGAAATGGTCAAGTGGATCCGTTTCTTATTATAGAAAGATGAGGTCTTTGTTAAATGCTTTGTATTTGACCCAGTTATTAATGTTTTATTTTAGATGAGTTTAACTTTTTTATTAGAATGACTGAAACATGATTTTACAGTGGGTAAGATGACCTGTAATAACAATAGGTGATGAATAGAGAGCATGATTAGCAAATAAAATACACTCCTAACTGAAACCCTAGGGCTCTCATTTATTTAATTTTAGATGGACAGTGTGTGTCTAGGCAGATACTACTAGTGTTTTTTGGTAAACATTTGAATCAGTAAAACTAATCTCAGGACAGGTTGATTTTTCTGGAAAGCTAACTTAATTTAGGAACAGCACATTTGTTTTCTAGAGAGTTCTCAGGAAGATATTTTTAAAGGTCATGGTAAGTGTCCACTATTTCTTGGTAACACTTGTTGAGGTTTCTCTGTTAGCTCTCATAGGTAATCTTGAGCTTTATATCATTGTTGTATATTTTTAGCATGTTAAGAATAGGTTAAAAGATCCTTGACTCAGTCTGAGACTAATAGTGGTTCTGTATCTGACATTAAAAGAAGACAAAGTTGTATTAAAAACCATGGCATAGATTCAAATAGCTTATATTTGGACAGGTGAAATGGATGAATATTAAATCAGCTCCCATGTCTAAATAATGTAAAGTAAGAATCAAGAAAGAGATTCTGTAGTGAAAAAAGGTATCACGTCTCTTGATAAAATGGATAGGAGTTTACAATAGATGGGGGTTTAGAATGCCTTTTTATTTGAGAAGAAGATAATTTATACGGGAATTCATTTTATCTCTAAAATTGGTAATTATTGATTGGTGATTTTTGGAAAAATAAGTTTATTAAGAGAAATTGGTATTTAAACAGGCAGAAGTCATCTTTTCCATGCAAGATCTGTTGTCTTAGGATTTTTAGAACCAGTTAGGTTTATGCTTACCAACTTTGTAAATTTTAAACTACTACAGTCATATTTAGGATCATCTCTTAGGTAAATGCTGTCCCCTCACCCCAAAAGAAAAAAAGCAAGGAAAGAAGGTAAAACTCATGGCACTGTTCCAGTGGCCTTACTTATATTGATACATTTAATCTGTAACAACCCCGCGAGATTTAGGTATTTCTGTTATCCCTATTTTACACATGAGAAAATCAAGGCAGATAGGTTGAGTAACCTGCCCAAGTCACGTATCTAGAACATGGGAAAGCTGGAATTCAAGCCCAGGCTGTGTGTTCTGGAGCCCGCACTCTGACACATTTTGCAAGTTCTGTTTGTATCCATGTCTGCAGTGCAGTATGTCACCACCGTTCTCTTCCTCAAATCTCTTGAGATTTGTTCTTCCAGCGTTTGTTATTCCTGAAGTTGTCCATTTAAATGTATAAAGTGCAT